ATCAATGGTCTAGTTTTCATTACAACTTGAGAAAAATATTTGAAAAGATTTATATAAGACATTACTGACAAAGCCTCTTTAATTATTTTAATACCAGAGATACAGGATCCCCAACTATACTGGTCATGCAACAACCTAATTTGGGAAACTTATGACCTAGAATTAGTTCAACACAAGTTTTCAGACAACTTTCCCAAGTGCATTACTTAAATTATAAAACTTCTAAGGATTTGGCCTTGAGAGGCCTATGAAGAAAAGGCTGGGCTCTCTGCTACTTAGTATTCAGTCATGTACAAAAGCCTTATGGTCGACAAATTGAAGATTCTCGAATAGGATATGGCCATAGTAGGTATTCAACATTTCTTTAATAATGAATAAAATTACTAATCACTCTAGAAGAGATGGTCCCACCAAAAGCCACTTTAGAAGTCTTAGAGAAAGAACTTACCTCAGTTTTACCAATAATATAAGGCTAACCAGCAATAAGTTAAATTTATAACAGACAAAAGTACAAGTAATTTGTCAATATGTATTGGCAACATTTTTTTTAAATGCTTACTCTTTGACACATTTTGAAGCACTTGTTCCATGAAAACAATCCAAAATATAGGAAAAAACTATATGCATATATCATCAAAATTAAAAACACAGAAATTAAATGTCTAACTGAACTACTACATAAAATACGGCACATATCTTTGATAAAAATAATGCCCATGAAATCCATTACTGTGTTTTGAAGACTTTACTGGCTCCATTTTGCCTCCAAGACAAATTAGGCAACTTTCTCTACCTCCTTCAGCCTCGTATCTCACCCCCTCCCTTTAATCTACAATAATCTATACTTATAATCTATACTCTAGGTACACTTTACCAGCCCTCTCCACTCCCAATTTCCCTAATTTCTGAATAATCCTAGGTACTCTGATAGCACTTTTCCATCTAAGTCATACTTCATAATAACCTATAATACTTAATTAATCGTCTTTTTCTCCTACCAGAATTAATACCTACTACCTAGCATAGCACCAGATCTTAAGTAGACAAATACATGCAGAAATGAACTAAGTAACATTACAAATGCTTACAATGCTACTGAAAATTAACAGGGGGTTTTGGGGAACTGTATGATCTATTTTCTTTTTCCTTTGAAACATTCTAAGATTGTGTGTGTGTGTGTGTGTGTGTAAATTTTATAATGCAAAAGAAAATATAGACATGCACATATATACTAAGTTGCAACGCAGTAATAGCATTGTAGTACTAAAACATGCTTATAAAACCAGTTCCTCAAACTTTTATTTCTTCTACTGCCAAAATGCATTAAACCAAATGAAGACAATATGTGAGAAACCAATAAGGTAGCTAGTCCTATTACCTGAGTGGAGTTAGATAGTTGGTTTTTCCACGGCTCCTCTGCGCTGCTGGTCAGGTTTGTGCGGTTATGAGGTAGAGTGAGTGCGTTTCGCTGCGGGTAAGGCACGTTTCCATTACTTCCACTTCCTGTTATGTGATTATTGCCTATCAAAAGAGTGTCTGTGCTTCCCAGCATTCTTGATGTGCTACAGGGAGCGTGGCCTGCAGAAAAGGGTCCGTTGGCCAAAGGCTGCCCCGGGCAGGCAGGGCGGACTCCGGGCTGAGAGGCGCTCGGCACTCTGGTCAGAGCAAGCGGTGGCTGCTGGCCAGAGACTGAGTTTGTAGGCAGTGATGAGTCAGCTGCTGGCCCATTAGGAATTCCAGTAGATCGTACCTGTGCAACTCCTGTTTGTCTCACCTGTCAAAAAAACAAATAAAAAATAAATTCTGCTTGTGTAGCCCCAGGGGAAAGAATCAGAATATGAAGGTGTATAACCAAGTGATCTCTGATTTTACCCTAACATTTAATTTCTCTACATGGAAATATATATACCTTAAAAACAAAAAATTGTGTTTGTTCATATTTAGATTAGCTTTTTCAGAAAAGCAGAAATCAGTTTTATTTTTAATAAACATCCCTTTAGTAATGACAAAAGAAAGCAGCTGAATATTATGGAAAATGACTCTGGAATTTGTGTCTTCCCCAATCACAAAATCTCAAAATCTCAAAATTTCTTTCTACTACATTTATACGCCAGGTCCTTAAAATTAAACACACACTAAAGAACTCCACTTCAGTTTAGAACAGATAGCCTGTTAAATATCAAATAATATAAATAAACCCTTAGAATACATACAAAATAGCATGTAAATAAGTAAAATACTAAGTCCTGTGTTCAAAATTAAATTTACAGCTCTTTTTTCCTAAAAATACCTATGTATTATTAGTATTACTAAATTCCATAAATACTGGGAGAAAGTAGAAGTGGGCATGAACATGCTCTAAAATGATGCTCTGGTCAATAAAAATACTCAAAATGCTACCAACTTTTAGGGGAAAAAATGCTATACACACTTGGTGCTGCTGCATTAAGACAAACTGACTTTCCAGCTGTTCCAGCATCAGTTTCTGAGCTGGATTTAAATTATTTCTATTTGCACGGAGCTGTTCCAAGTGCTAGAAGAAGAAGAAAAGAAGAAAAAAGAATATAGTCAAAGATATATCTAAGAAGCTCAAGTTCACTATTTTAAGTAACCTTTCCCTGAAATGACCAGATAAACTCAGAATCGCTTTCTAGTCAAAGACACTAATTTCTGACCAATAGCTATCAACCCCAAGATGAAGTCTTTTAAGAAGTTTGAGAAAGTTAAGAAAGAAAGAAAGACTCAAACCAAACAAAGCAAATGAACCTCATAGATGCAGAGAATACTGGTAGTTACCAGAGGGGAAAGGGGTGGGGAGTCAAAATGGGTGAAGAGGATCCATGGTGAAAGATGATAACTAGACGTTCGGTAGTGATCACTTTGTAGTGCATACAGATGTCGAATTACACCATTATTCACCTGAGACATATAATGTTATCTACTAAATTTACCTCAATTTAAAAAAGTAGTTTAAAAATATAAACATTCATCTGAAGAGGGTTTACTGCAATGTGATCCTTGAGATAAATGAGCACAAAATTTTACTCTCTAACACAGTATTTTTCAGTATTCACACAGAAAGCTCTTTAAGCTTAAAAATGGCTTATGACAAGTACACTCAAAGCAGCACAGTTTGGAATAGGAAGAGTTGGACAACAAATTGTCTAAAACTAGTGATCTACTTAAATAAAGGTGTAACATCTACATAAAGAAATATGCTGTAACCATAAAAAATTAAGGAAGCTCTCTCTATACATTGACAAGAAAATGTCTGTAAAAGAGATTATTAACGATATATATAGCATTCTACCATTTGTACAAAAAAGGAAAAAGATAATATATGAGAAGGGTGCATACATATTTTCTTGTGTATGCACGACATATCTCTGGAAAGATAACTACTCATTCTGGCTGTCTGCTAGGAGTGGAACTGAATGGTTAAGGCCAGGAGTTTGAAAGAGAATTTACTCTATATACTGTATATTCATATTAATAGTTTGAACCATTTGAATATATTATCTGTTTAAAAGTAAATGTTGCCTGGCCGGAGTAGCTCAGTGGTTGAGCATCGACCTATGAACCAGGAGGTCATGGTTCAATTCCCAGTCAGGGCACATGCCCAGGTTGTGGGCTCGATCCCCAGTGTGGGGCGTGCAGGAGGCAGCTGATCAATGATTCTCTCTCATCATTGATGTTTCTCTCTCTCTTTCCCTCTCCTTTCCTCTCTGAAATCAATAAAGCAAATGTAAACAAGAATGAATTATCTGTTAGTCTGGTAAATATGAGTTCATTTTATTTATGTGCATATTGAGTTTACTGCTATTCAACTTTAAGAATACTTTAGCCGAAACCGGTTTGGCTCAGTGGATAGAGCGTCGGCCTGCGGAATGAGGGGTCCCAGGTTCGATTCCGGTCAAGGGCATGTACCTGGGTTGCTGGCACATCCCCAGTGGGGGGTGTGCGGGAGGCAGCTGATCGATGTTTCTCTCTCATCGATGTTTCTATCTCTCTGTCTCTCTCCCTTCCTCTCTGTAAAAAATCAATAAAATATATTAAAAAAAAAAAAAAAGAATACTTTAAAAACTTAAAGCTTACTATCTTTACTATTTTTTAATAGAAAAACAATATGTCAAAAACATGTCTTACATACCTGTAATTTCTGTGGTGGCAAACACCATGAATGACTTGGTTGCTGTACTGGAGGATGTGACACTGCATGGCCACTACTCCAATTATCAGAAGTATTCTGGGAAAAATTGATAAAAAGAAACTTAAAAATATTTGGTGAAATCTAGACTTAAAAATAATGACTAATGGAGGCCAAATGACTATGATTGGAATATTTACATATAAAAGATGTTATGACATTAACTTTTAAACATAGCTTTACATGCATAATAAATTTGGAAAATCACAAATTTAAAAAATATTGATTTTTTAATAAGCCACCCAAAAAGGCCCACCCCTAAACTATGTCCCAAATGGCTAACCTAAATATCACACTGTCTACTAGGTCCAACATTAAATTTATTTCAATGTCAGTAGAAAGTGATAATGAAAAGTGTGTTGCAATCTTAACGGCAGGGAGATGAATAAAATGACTTGATGAAGGCAAAGTTATCCCTACGTTCTGTATTTAATATGATACTAAGAATTTGGGATGGAAAAACTCAAAACCTTTCACTCTTTGATGTCCACAGATTTAAAATAAAGGACAGGAGATGTTCAAACTGCACAAGTTCAGGGCAGTTGGGAATTTCTTTTTTGACAGGATTTTCTATTTCTCTAAGATATATACCTTGGTTGGACTAGATGTTCTTTTCCTCTTGGCAGGACTGGACAGGCCATCTACTTGGCTAGAAGGAATCGTGTGTAGTGGCAAGGATTGCTGTGAAATTGGTGTTTGACTGAGGCCTAATACAGGTTCAGTATTTGGATGATGAGGTTTACATGCCTAAGAATCACAGAAGGAAGACAAAAATAGGGTTCTATATACTCTTAATTCATTCCTTCAAATTATCAAACTTTACAAGCTGCATACTTTTCAAAGCTATGTGGACATCGCTGATTGCAATTATTGAAAATCAAAATCAAATGAATCATCAATGGAGGAATGTGTACCTTCCTTTGAAAAACTTGCATGAAAAATTAAACTGCAGTATTATTTTAAGAAATCTCCTTCAAAGTCATGAAAATGCGCAAAGGTTCTAAATTGGCACCCAAAATTTCTTCCCATATCAGAGGGAGTTTTACTTTGATCTAGAGTCCCTTCACAATTAAAAGGCTTTTCATTAATAAAAGCCTCCTGCGCTCAGTAAAATATACTTGACCACTATAGATTGAAAAGAACCCTTAAAGCTGGGCACCTGCAGAACATAACCCAACTTCTCACCTGCTGTGCTGTGTTCATGGCACCCTGCCTGGAGGTAAGCTCTGCGGGGATTGGTAGGCTCCACGCCTCCTCAATACTAGGAAGTAATTTAGTTTTATTCTGTAGACTACTTTGTGGAAGGTTACACAACTGAGCCTAGGAAAAATTATGTAAAAAGCAAATTTAACACAAGCCTACTTGAGTAAGAGCAAGTCCACTAAATTTTCCTAAATGCTATAACTAACTGTTTTTTTAAAAAGAAAATAGATTCTTAATTTGGGGTTTCAGAAAGATACTAAGTATAAAGAGGGTAACCGAAATATAAACCTTTGTGAGAATTAAAACAAAGCTGAGCTCTGTTTTTAGAGTTCTCATAGCTGTCTTCTCATGAAACTCCAAGCAAGAGTGAAAGACAGTGTTCGTGTTCTTTTCTCTAAAATGCTATGACAACTTAAAAATGTAGACAGCACATAGAAAAAATTATGTAAATTAATATGCATCAAAAGAGTATATGTGCAAAAGAGCATCTTTTAAAATACTGCATATCTTATTTAAAATGAAAAGTAAAATAATATTATAAGCTATGGTATGTTTACAAAATATGGAAACAAATTATAGACATCAACACAACTAGACAAACTTTCCAGCCACCCTCCTCCTGCCTTAGTGTCATGGGGAAATGTGCCTTTAAAAAAAACTGCTACTAAAAATTTTACCTGTAAATACTTAATTCGTGCTGCAAGTGCAGAGGTATTACTACAACTTTTGCTTCTGGTTGCATTTAAGTAGCATTTAATGGCATCCTGAGGCTGGTTGCAGGATTCATAGAGTGTGCCTAGGTCCATCCAGGCTGCAGCATGGCCATGGTCCAATTGTACAGCACAAATATAGGCCTGTAAAGCATCCATAGGCTGATTTTGTTGCTGATATAGCACACTAGAAAGAGAAATTAAGAAAAAACAAGTCAACAAAAAAGAACTGCTTAGCTTCATAACATGATATAAACTGCGAAGTATATTATATGTGATGCACCTATCTTTGTGTATCAATTACAATGCCATTATCTTTATGCAATGTCTTACCCTATTGAACACCATGTATCTGCACTTGCTTCTGATTTATCAATAGACTGCCTGTAAGATATAAAGGCATCCTGAACTTTCCCAATACTTGAATAGCACCTGAGAGGAAAGGGGGGAAAAGTAAAAAAATTTCCATTATTACAGATTAATTTGCTGAAAGGATGGACTATATGTCAAAGCAAATGAAAAACCTAATAAGCTAAAATATTTATGTCATTATGTATACGATAATTATAATGCATACTATAATTAACCCTTCAATAAACGATATTATAGTCTATCATAGATGCTAAAGCATGCTGCAGTAATGAACAGTATTGAAAAAATTAAAGGCCTTATCACTTCAATATTTACAATACTGAGAGTTGAAAACACACACACACACACACACACACACACACACACACGTGCGCGCGCACCCCACTCTACTTATATAACTTTAGCTCCAGTTTTCTATTCAGTAAGAACATAGAGTTAAAAAACAAGAAAAACATTCTCTGTTGGTAAGAATTGCTGAATCAGATTCCAATTCCACGTTCCTAAATAATAATGAGGGCAATAATTCTTTAGTTCATAAAAAATACAAACATAAGACATAGTTAATATCAAGCTAACTATCAAAAACAGTAAGAGTAGCAAAGTATGATTAAAGTTTCAAAGACCTGTCATTTTTAATTTTATTTTTATTGATTTCAGAGAGGAAGGGAAAGGGAAAGATAGAAACATAAATGATGAGAGAGAATCATTGATCAGCTGCCTCCTGCACACCCCCCCACTGGGGATCAGACCCACAACCCAGGCATGTGCACTGACTGGAATCAAACCCGGGACCCTTCAGTCCACAGGCCGACACTTTATCCATTGAGCCAAACCCAGCTAAGGCAAGACCTGTCATTTTTAATGCATATATACCTGATGGATACACAGAACAGCAGCTGACATCCTATCTAATAATAGACAAACATGGTAATTAACCATACCTCCGCTACACTTCCCATTGGCTAATCAGGGTGATATGCAAATTAACTGCCAACCAAGATGGCGGCC